CAAATTTTCTGAAGCCATAAAAGGCCATTAAAAGGTAAACATGTATTTTCCAGGGTTACTTTTCCAATGTAGTTTTGACTTGCGTATAGAGTTACCCATATCTTATACTTAATAGTTTTGAACTAGAGTCTCTCATTGGGTTTTCCTGACAAATCTGTGTAGTAAGTAGAAGAGCTGATGTCATTACTGTTTTATAAAATAAATAAAAACAGAGGAATGGTGTTTACTTAAGGACTCCTACAGTGCATAATATTTTTAGAATTTACCATTTTCAGTCACCTCCTTTGAGTCAGGACTTGTGCTAGCTGTTTTACATAGAGCTACTAATATTATTTAATCCTCATAACCTCTGAAGTTGATAATAGGGATCTCACTCTACAGGTGAGGAAGGTAAGTTTCAAGGAAGTAAAATAATCTATCCTAGGTCTTCTTTAGTCTGATTCAAGCTGATCCTCATTACATTGTTCGGATTGGTATCATTAAATTCAATGGTTGTTTGTGATCCTTAATTAACTTTTAGTCTGTCAGAGCATTTGAGTGGAGAGTAGGTCAGAACTGACATAGATTTGGCTTGTTGGAGCTCAACCTCACTATATGCTGAACTGAAATGGTATAAATCCCTGCATTTGCATATTTTATGGAAATTGAGATGTTTCAATCAGGAAGAAAGTATAACATGAAAGAATTAAGATATTGACAAATATTTATAGAGCACCAATATTTACTAGACATTTTGATTAGTGCTTGCATGCATATTACACATTATGATCTTTATAACATTCCTGCAGGCCCTAGTTACTGTTTGTTTACAGATAATGAAACTGATCCCCCAAAAAGTCATAAATAATACATTGTACGTAGGGAAGGGCACACAGCTAACAAGTAGAGCTGGAAATGAACTGGGGTCTTTTAACCATGGGTCCATGACTTTCTGGCAGTGTCAGTGTTCAGTGCTCACAAGAGGTTCTGTTGCTTCTGGGGTCACTCTGCTATTCCTCAACCCATGGTCAGCCCTGTCCCGTTGCTTTCATTTGCATACCATTTGCATATCCTCACTTGGGAATTTCGGATAATTTAAGCATCAACCTAGAAAGCATTTCTTGAATTGTAACAAGAATTGTCTACAGGAAATCATGCATCTAAAGAAGGTATTCTATTATGCAGTCATTAGCATCTTGTTTAGAAACCTCTGCTTTTCAGAAATAATTTCACAGAAGGCAATGGAGTTATCTATCAAGCATTTCTGAGAAATAAATACAAGAGATAGATGTGTGTAGTTCAAATCAGGACAACTCAATATATCTGCACTGGGTATTTAAGGAGTCCTGAGGTAATTGAACATAGTAATTGCGTTGCTGTATCTCAAGGGTTTCACTGACACTTGTTTTGTTTGTTTTGCCTGAGCCCATAATTGCAGAAATATTCTCCCATGATGATTAGTACCCAGTTTAAAATAGACTGTTTCATTAAAGGTAACTCCATAATGAGCCCAGTGAGGACCCAAGCTGGGTCCTTTAAAGATAGTAATTCCCTCTTCTTGCAGCCTGACCATGTGCTCACAGAACTGTGTGAGTTAAAACCTTCCACTTCAGTCCTGTTTGAATGGCAAGAAAAGAGGAGGTCGAATTACATAGCCTTTAAGGTCTGTTCCAGCTTTAGCATTCTGTGATTCTTTGGAATATTCACCAAATAGAAGTTCAAAAATTGATTCGGCTCTCACACTGAGAGGGAAGAATGCCCACAATTGAATAAAAGATTAGGAGCTGTAGAGAGGAAATCGTTGTCTTGAGTGAGTTCTTTTATTGGAAATCAGCCTTGGACTACTGGACAGGAAATTAAGTTCTTGCCTGGGTCATTAATCATTGTGCCGATTTGAAAATTGGCAGTAGGGGGAGGTGGCTATATTTGAGGAGGAAGGAAGGAGTGGGCGGAAACAGCTTTCCTCAAAGCTCCAGTCTGAGTGGGCATTAGCCGGTAAAGATAAGTGATAGCAGCCACCCCCTTGTGGTGGAGGTGTCTAGATATTTTTGTCAATTCTCCTGATAGTTCCCACACATCTCCCCAAACCTGTTTCCCACTTCCACCAAAAGGAGGGAAATAGAATCACAGGATTTTCAAGGAACAAAGGCAGAGATGTGATGGTTTAATTGAGGTTTATATTTCCCTGTTCAGCTCAAGAAAGGAAGACGAGATGAGGGTATCCTTAATTTTTGCGGAAGCTAACATTGATTTAAAAAATCAGCAAAACCACGGGGCATGGGTTATGCCATGTCAGGATAACCTGTGTCCCTCAAACTACTGTATCTTTCACCATCTCCTGTTTCTCTCCCTCTTTCCAAGTGGAACCCCACTCAGGCGTCAATGTCTTCTGCCTCATAAAGTTGGAGTTTCTCTCTGCATCTGCTCATTGGGCCAGAAACATATTAAGATCATCCTGGTTTTAACTTTTCCTTTCTCTTCCCCAGTATATGACTGTCTCAGAGCGTTTGCACTTTTTAGTTATTTTTCCTGTAAGGTGAGAAGTTTTGATAAATAAAAACTCGGCAGCAGATTTTATTTCCCAAAAAAAATAACAATTTTGACATCTCAGAGTATCATGTGTCTTAAAGCTGTTCCCAGTAGAGTCTAAATATACCTCTGGGCTTTCTTATCACTCATCAGAGCTGCCTAGAAAATGTGCCCCCCTCGGGGTATGATTGACTAAGTCTTCTTTAAAGCTCTCTCTCCTCTTACAGATTTTTTCTGACGGGAAGGAGGCTAAGTTGGGTTGGGAAAGGAACCTTTTGGCTCCCTTGCAGTTTGTGTGGGCTTTTGCTCGTTCTCTCTCTCAAAACACCTGCTTCTTTCCGACTGTAATTTCACAATGTTCTTAACTGCTCGGCACGCGAGATGGTCCTCAGCATCCTTGACAAATCCTGCCCTGAATCGTCCTCCCAAGCAGCCCAGGAGCTGGCCTGTGTGGTCATGGCTTAGGAGAAATAGACGTCGCTCTCCTCCCTACAACCCTGCGTCTTCTTTCCACATTAGTCTTGGCTGCTCTAGCCCCAGTATTTAACACCAATAATAAGCACCTTAGAGATGATCTGTCAAACCGGGAAGTAAAAAAAATCAAATGTAACCAGGTGAAGTGTCACTGTCAGCCCAGGAAGAGCATTCTGAGCAGTTCAGGATGTGGAGGATGAATCTATTGCCATGAGCCGCCTCTTCACAGGAAATCACACAGGCTTGCAGTATTGAGGACGCCTTTAAATTAAAAGGAGTAGGCGAGGCTTCCGCCTTACTGGAGTTTGTATACCTATTGCGGGATGTGACACAAGCTGTTCGGGGACTCTTGAAGTTCTGACTTGGAGCACTGGATCACAGCAGTAGCAGGGGCCTTGACCTTCTCGTTCGGCACTTGCCCTTGAAGCCTGGCTTCCAGTGTCAGAGCAGTTTCCCATCTGTAGACCCACGAACTTGCCCTTATTTGCGCCTTGACCCGCTACAACACCAAACACTGGTGAGAACTGTCCTTGGAACTCTCCTTCCCACTCTCTAGAATGTTCCATCTATCTTCTAGGTTCATTCTCTCTTTTTTTGGTTCATCCCTACTATGTTCTCTTGTCACCCCCTATAAGTTTGTCTCTTTGATCTTGGCTTCTCCCATCCTCAAGTTAGCAGCCTACTGAATACATTTCTACTTTTCTTATTTTATCATCTCAGACTCAGCTTCTCTAAAAGGAAAAAAAAATTCTCCCCTAAACTGGATACTCCTCTGCTAAGTCTATTTTTGTCATTGTCATTTCAATCCACATCCCAAGCCATCACACTGGTCACTGATATTCTTTCTCCATTGTGCCAGTGTTTTCAGGAAAGAACCCAAGCAGCCTTCCAGGGCGCAGATAGGTGGGGACAAGCATTAAGGGCTTAGAAATGGTAGGCTCCACCTCTGAAGCACCAAGTGCCAAACTGCACTGAATTCTTTTCTGGGCTTACTCCATTAGTGCTTGTAGCAGCCTATCAGATGCTACATAGGAGGAGCCATGCTCTACCCAGGGGATGGGAACAGGTACCGCTTTCCCTCCTCTTCTCCAGACAAAGCAGGACTGACTGTGCCTTTTAGTACAAGAAGGATGAATGGACTCTAAATCTAGGTTGCCTGCTGCTGGCAACTCACTTGGGGAATTTGTGTTTGGGGTCTTGCATCTCCTTCCTTTCTTTGTCCTTTCTTAGAGTGGTAAGACTTTCTAATGTGCCCTCTTTTGGGATGTACCTTTAGTTCTGCTGGAGGAGGAGCGAGCGATGCATACCTTAGTGTGCACAAGTTTTTAAGAGAGAGCGATCGAGGGAGCCGGATAGAGCTTGGTGTGCACTGACCAGCGTGGGTCTGAAGTCCTGTACTCTGGCGCTCATTCATTCAGCAGATGTACTGTTGATTGTGCAGAAATGTAATACTGGGTATCACTTGAGTGGTGCCACCCGGCCCCTGCTCCCACACGTGACGGGGAGAAATACTTCGGGTGAGCAGTTTTACAGTTAAGATTTAATTGAAATGGTGCTAAGTGCTGCAAAAGCATGGTCGGGGCATTTGGCTGTGCTGTCTCCAGGCCTTTCATCTGAGGAATCATGAGTGCATTGGAACAAGGTGCATATCGAGTGGGCTGGAGGGTCTGAGGGGCAATATGTCAGTCTTCTGCTTCAGCATCTCAGTAGCTCAACTCCATACTGTCCTTCAGCCTTCCCACCTGTTACCAAGCCCATCAGACTGTCCCAGCTGTGTGTTTCTCCCCTATGCCCATGTAGTCTCTCCACTTCCATTTTTTCTCCTCATTCTTCCACCTTCACCTCTTTTAAGTATCCAAAGCCCAACTGACCTCCAGGCCCTCCCTGACATCCCACTGACTTCTCCATCCTAACAATGCATTTGTGATCTGTCCCTCCTCTGATTATACCAGGAGTTCTCAGAGGAGGAGCCCTGTCACCCCTTGTTAGAAATGCAGGGTCTCAATCACCATGCTCAGTGGGGCCCAGCAATCTGCTTTCACAAGCTTTCTGGGTGATTTTGAAGTGCACACTAACATTTGAGAACCACTAGCTTATGTGACTCCTTTAGAATGGTATTATGTGTTGCCTTATTTTCTTATTCCATATCTTTTCTCTCCAATGAGATTGTAAGTCCACTGTTTTGCCTGCATTCATGTTTTTACACAGTGTTAGTATTTAACAGTTTAATGTATGTTTGGATAAATCCCTGAAAGCTATTTCAGTCATTTTTTTACCTCCTTTGATATGACTAGTAGTTTCAAATTGATCTGCTTAGAAATTTCTGGCATATGTAGAGAAATGTTAAGTTCTTCTGAAACCTCTGAGAACCAGTTGAGAAGTTCTCATTGGAAGGGGGTACAGTGTAACACAAAAAGGGGTCTAACCCCAAGGCTATTCTGTGGGTTTTTTAAGTGTGGGCAGAAATGTTTCTGAGATTTTAGATTATGCTTTTCTCAAATGATTGATGATAGCATTAAAGAAGGAGGAAAAAAAGCAACCAGAATTATCTATATGACATCAGTTTGGTAGAAATGATCAGATAGAAGGAGGAACAGATTTTCTTGTGAGCTATAGCTCCTGGTTAGATTGTGATGTTAGGGTAATGCTATGTCAGAGTATCTCTTTATGGAATTTTGGAAAGATTGTTGGAAAGGCAGTTGTTTAAGGGTGGAATATTTTAGTTTGTTTATCAAATCCAATGTTTGGCCTGTAAGACACTCAAAATGTTCCCTTCTTTCCTCCTTCCTTTTTCCCCTCCTTCTCTGTTTCCTTCCTGTTGTACTAAATAAGTATTTAAAATACTAATCTTAACTTTTCTTTCCAGAAATAAAAGTGTGGAGAAAAATTTTACTTCATTCCGTTTCATCCTGATAGTACATTCCCTTCCTACCCTCCCATATGCAACCATTTAAATGTATTTATTGTGCCTTTTTTCTTTGGATATGTATTTCTAAAAATGTAATGGTTTGTAATGCAAATATTTTAGATTTACATACATGATATTGTGTTTTAAATCTCTCTTTTTTTTCCACTTGGCATTATTTAAAGGTCCACTCTTGTTTCAAAATCCATTCTTGTTACTGTGTGTTTGTGTGGTCTCCCAAGAGTGGGCAACAGAAATAATGGTGCAGTAGACATCCTCATGCATTTCTTCTGCGGTCTTGTCTTGGGAGAACCTTTCTTTGGAACTTATGCACAGAAGTGAAATTGCTGGGTATTTGGAATATGAAGAGTTAATTTGACTAAATGGTGCCAGCGCACTTTCCACAATGGCTGCCCCAGCCCCACTTCCACCATAGTCCAGCAAGACTCCTACCCACATCAGGAATTTTCAGTTATGCTGCCTTCATAGGTGTGAAGTGATAGCTCTTAATGTGCATTTGCTTGCCTATGTGCTTGCCAGTCTTTGGGGTAGCCTCCCTAGTAAATTGCCTGTCCATGTTCTTTGCCATCATTGTATCGGTGGTGGTGGGGTATCGTTCTTGACTTTCAGGACACCACTGAATACTTCCAGTATCAGTCTCTTTGCAGTTTTAGATTTTGCAAGGATCTTCTATCATCTGTCTGTCAACTTTTCCCGCAGTATCCATAATTGAACAGAAAATCTTAAAGTAATCATTGTTCTGCCATATACTTCCAGCTTTTGAAGTACTCTGCCCCGAGGTGCTATCGGTTAGGGATTCATTTTAGTTTTCCTCAATATAGTGAGCCACTGTTACCAACACCAAAGACCAAGTAGTCTTTTCCAGTTGGCCTGTTGTGGTATCTTTATCATATACAATAAGTCCTCTGCATATGAATGAGTTCTGTTCTGAGAGCACAGTCATAAGTCCAATTTGTTTAAGTTCAGCAGAGTTAGCTTAAGTACCCAATTAACACAACCAACTATACATAACACCACTACTTTTATGCTTGCTTCCAGACATTCTGGGCTTGAAATAATGATACTATGATAAGGTACTCTATACTGTACTGTACAGTAAAGTACACAAAAGCACAGCCACTTGTAGAGGATGCATGCATGTGGCAATGTACACCAGACATGTGAACTAATTTATGTGATTAAACATGTGAACGCATGTTTGCATCTTTGAAAGTTTGCATCTTGAAAGTATGTATGTAGGGGACTCACTGTAACATAAATTTTTGTTTTGCATGTTCCTATTCTCTCTAGCTTCATTCATTCCACAAAATGCTTAAGTTGAAATGACCTCAGAAAGTTAGAAGAATAAACTGCTTCCCAATGACTAGTAGGAATAAACTCATGAAAATAATGTCATGTGCTCTTAACGCAGCCTTGTAAAGTTTCAGCTAGACTCCAGGTTGCAAAACAAAGTAATTGCTGAAAGAAGCTATTACTTGTTGGCATTGCCTGTTCTCCCTACAGAGTGTCAACTAGACCAACCAGCATAAATTTAGGTTTCTTCCCACTGTCTCCTATAATGATTCAGTTTATCAACTCTCTAGTCATTTTATATTTCCAAATTATCTGTAAGATATGCAAAATAAACATGCCACCTTAAATCATTTGCAGCTTAAAAACTGAGTATACATTGGAAAAATTCAGACCTATACATAAATGAAAGAGAAAGAAACAGAGATTTCTAAGTATTTTTCTGCTCATTAACTCTCCTCTGAGTGCCTTGTGTACTGCCTTGATCAGAGTAATAAAGAGGTAAATAAGTATCTTTGAAATTGTAATCTCTTAACAAATAGATTGGGGAGGCAAAAGCTAATTTGGCCCTTATTTTTAATTCTGCTACTGAATATTGATAATCAAAAGTAATATGATTACTTTACTAATTATTTACTATCAAATGGGGGCACATTGTCCTTTGCTGAGCATTGTACATACATGGCCTCATCTAATCCCTGCAACAGTCACATGAAGTAGGTATCATCCTCCCCATTTTATATGTCAGGGAACTAAAGCCCAGAGAACTGTCCTCCTTAGATCAGACATCTACTAAGGGGCAAGACTGAGATTCAAACCCAGGTCTGCTTGCTCCAAAATTGGGTTCATGTCCACTGCTCACACCGCTTCCTATGAGTGTGAATTAAACCTAAGTAATGCCTCACTAAATGAGGATGGTTATATTTACACAAAAATATTTGAATATTTGAATATATGTTTTACAGGAAAATGGTAAGCATCACCCTAACTCATTAGCTTTCTAATCATTCCATGTCACACAAATGAGCTGGTGTCCAGCTTTAGGCATTGCCATTTTTGTTTGTTTTAATCATACCTGTTTCTTCATAATGAGCTATCATCACCTTAGTATAATGAATTTTCTGTGCATATCCTTTTGTTTGCAAAGCTCAATATTTGATTTCTTCACTCATCCTATGTCCAGACATTAATGAAGGCAGTGCTGTCTCTGCGTCAGCAGTTACCATCAACATAAGATTAGTACATCAATCTACTAATTACCTGATGAGTATGTATCTTATTTACTTAATAGAATATTAACCATAATTCCCAGTCAGCATCTGTATAGATTCTTAAATACTATACATTCTCCATGTAGCCTTCTGATATCCCTGGCATTCTAAATGTTTTGGGGTTTTCTTTTTCAAGAAATAAAATTTTACAGCCACAAAATGAAAAAGTTGATCCCCTTAGTGCAGTATCAGAAATCATAGCTGCTGACTTTGTTATTATGGTTCTTTTTAAATTCCTCCCAGTGACTTCTGCTTATAAAAAGCCTGATATGACATTAGAAACAGGAGTATTTTTTCTTTGGCATGTATCTGTTCCCTGACAAAGTCACTCCTCTGTAAAAGTTCTTTTTCTCTCCAGCCTTGTTTATCCCATCAGGCATTCCTGCCAGAAGCAGCCCTGTTTACATAACTGCCCTTGTTGGTCGGAATATTTTACCAAGCAGCCATCCTCCCCTCACACCACAGCCTGTTTAACATGGAATAGGGTCAAAACCTGAAAGGCGTTAGAGAATGCTCAATAAGCTAGATTTGTGCTGAATGAAAGCGGAGGCATTTGGATGAAAACGAAGTATTGGGAGAGGGGAGTGAGAGCAGGGGCGTTTTGTCAGTAAAGATTGAAGAAAACAAAAGAAAAGAGAGTAGTTCTTTTGTGAGGGAGTGGAAGGGAAAACCGTTCACTGGTTTGGGAGTGGGACAAAGGTATGTATTGACTGTTGGAAAGCATGTGCATTCGTTAGCCACTTGAACACAAATGGAACTGCAGGTCGGCTAAGCAACAACATGGCTAGCTGCGTCTCCATTTTCTAATTAAAAGGAAAAGATTTAACAAGAATGAGGTGTCTCAATAATAATGTAGGCTTTTTCATTTTACTAGACTTTCCACTTTTTACTGCAGTTTTGACTGATTCTTAACAGACGTAGTACTCTAGGCCACCGTCACTGTGGTCACAAATATATTAGAGGAGTTGTATTTTAAGCATGAGGCATTTTAATTAGAATTGCTCTTTATTTGAACACAGGGGTTAGTAGGCAGCTTGTCATGGAAAAGATCACACTTGGGCCAAACACAGTGGCTCACACCTATAATCTCAACTCTTTGGGAGACTAAGGCAGGAGGATCACTTGAGGCCAGGATTTCAAAGATCAGCTTGGACAACATATCAAGAGCCCATCTCTATCCACCACCCCCAAAAAAAAACAACCAGAGATGGTGGTGTGTTCTTATGGTCCTAGCTACCTGAGAGGCTGAAGCAGGAGGATTGCATGAGCTCAGGAGTTAAAGGCTGCAGTGAGCCATGATTGCACCACTGCGCTCCAGCCTGGGTGACAGAGTGAAGCCCTATCTCAAAAAGAAGAAGAAGAAGAAAAGATCACATGTGTTATTTTCCAATCTCTATCTTTCCCAGAACTGGAGTCTCCAACCAGGTGGCAGTAAGCACCCTGAATGACTACCTTCTGCACTTTTCTCTCTTCTGCCTATCTCCTTAACTACCAATTGTGCCATTTCTTTGTCTATGTCAAATTTAGAATGGTTTTTGATGTCTCATAACTAGAGGAGTTTTTCAGGCTTACTGTAA